GTCGATGAAACAGAAGACGTTTACTCTTCCGGAACACCTGGTAATGTTTTCCTTGTATTTTTTCGTGATTCTCTATGTGAATACTTCTTTTATTCATATACAATTGTTTGATTAAATTTAAGTTTGGATTATGAATATGTTCCCTTTTGGTATTTTCTTACTGTGTTTTAAAAAAGGCAATAAAAAGAAACCGAAAATTTATCTTCCCCTTATTGCAAGCTCAGTTGTTGGTGAAATACTCCGGTGAATGGTTCGTGACGGATTCGTTGAGCATTTAAAAATAATTATTCTGATCAAGGAGTGGATATTCCTGAAGTACTCAGCGGAAGAAATGGAAGACTGGACCGTTGCAATAGACAACAGACAGACGTTACCTACCTTGGTTTGATAAAGTACCGCACGGAAGACTCATCCAAAGAGTGGAAAACTACTTGGTTATCTACTTCGATAGATTTATGGAACAAACTCTAATAGAAAAAATAAATAATGATAATAAAATAAAATAACAAACGGAGAACCCAGAGGAAGTTATATCAATGATATTCTTTAATTTGTTGAAAACACCTACAAAATGTTTGCAAACGACGCCAATCTGTTTAAGTCAACAGCTTTAGGTGATAGCTGGCAACCGTTGCAAGCTGACTTTCAATGTTTCAAACAATAAACTTGAGCAAACCTCTACTAGGAAATCAACACTATGTAACGTAAGGAAGAAATGCAGCATATTACCGTAGTATTCATGTTTGTATAGTATCAGTTTAACAACGAATAAAAGACTTGTAACAAAGCTATTGAATTACACTTTTCACAAATGGGATTTTAATTCCATGTTTGACATTGTAGATTTAATGTAACAGTGGTTTAGACCATTAGAATGAGACACCTGACTCTAAAAAAATCAAACTTGATATTCCACGAGCTACGCTTACTGAATCGCGATGTTTCTTTTGTGGAAAGTCCAGAGATGAAAAAAGGTGTACAATCTTTGGATCGAATATTCTAAGGGACTGACCCCAATATCAGGCTAGTATTGTCAATGTAAGGTTGAGGCCAGAGTAGTCGGCTGCTGTGCCCACATTGCATCTGTCCTATGGTATCTTTCTTATGACCGACACCAGTCTGATATTGCACAAACAACTGCCTCCTTAAGTTTCCTTAGTTGTGTTGATGACGCAATGACGGCGGAGAACTGGTCAGATTGTGACTTCCTAAATGAATATCCCAACGCCACCATTCCCCTTACTAAAGCAGTAAACAAAAATACAATCCCGTAAGTAATAGACAAAGGTCATTTATAATATTGTGAAACCTGGTGCTAAATTGATTTTTTTCCATTTTAATATCATCCATATTTGCAAAAATATTTCAAATAAATACACTGCACGTGATAAACGTATTGTGTATAGATGCATTACGACAAAAAACGGTGCTCAAGTGTGACTTAATTAATAATTAGGGCACTTAATTACCGTGACCTACTTTTCAACAATGGCATAATTTTTGGTCATTTTTTGTAATGAAGGTTTTGAAATATATCATCAAATGACATTTAAGAGAAAAAAACTAAAAAAAAATATTTTAGTTTGATAATTATTGCAATAATTATGAATTTGATCCCCCATTCGTCCCCCCTATAACAACTGAACAGCCTTGAGCTGACCTTAGATTAATGTCATATCATTACCGTCTGACCTCAAGGTTTTAATAGACAAAAAATAAAAAAGTATTCGTCATGGCCACCAGAAAGCCCAAAATGGCACTCCTCCTTTGTCTTTACTGACATCAATAAGATCTATATATCTGTTTACCATTTCTTGTACACCTCATTGTAGAATCATAGACAAATCTTTGGAAGAGTCTTTTAACATGCTGGTATAGTCACATTTCCTGTGCTTGAATCGAGGTGCCATTTCACTAGTATTTTTGATTTCGCAAAATAGTCAAACAAAAGGATTAAATGATAACAGGACTTTCGTATGATACTTCTTTCACCATTTCTTCTTTATTTGGGTATCCTGGTTTCATTACATCTCTGGTCACATTTGTTGATCTAGGTAATAATCTTTAAGTTATTCTATGAAACGTTCACTTTCTTTGCTACCATTTGACAACCATGAGTTTCAGTATGTTTTTATAGTCTCCTACAATAAGTGACTATGGTTTGTGGGCTGATGCTAAAGGAGGCATTTTTGATGTGCGTTTCCGTGAGAAATGCAACGTTATGGCAAGCCAAGTTTGCGAATATTCCAAATATCTTGCATCTTTTTCTTGGTGAAACCATAATCTTGAAACCCATTTTCACTTTGGATTATGTTTCATACTGTGACTGTGGGTTGTTGCAGATTTTGATAAATTTTCCAATTTTAAATCAAGATGAAATCCAAGACGTGATCTATCATGTCATTCCCTCATCAGTTAGATGTATTCCTTACCCCGTCCAAAAAGGTTATGCTTTATATGCGATATCTTGACATTTCTGATGTTGTTTAAGCGAAACAAAACCATTCATTTGTGCTATACTAAACTTAATTAGCACCAGTCGAATTTACATTAAAGGCATTTAATGTGGTATATGATTTGACATAAGATTAATAGAACTGAATTAAACATGGTACTTTTAGAGCGCTGTATGTGTGTCATAGCGCAATGTCCGCGTATAACGTCTATGCTTAATGGTCTTGTAAAATACGTTTAGTATTAATTATTAAAGTAGGGGAAAGTCAACATTTTATCGGACATGTTCAATAAACATCAACATATATTGATATGTATGATACATGTCCTTTGATACTGATTTAATGATATATAATTATCAACATATTACAGTTTAATCTCTTTTAATTGAATAGAATCATATAAATATATTACAAAATATAGTTTCAATGATTAGATACACTATTCCGTAATAGAAAGAGTAATGAAGAAATTAGTAAAAAGAGGATAAACACTGGTAGACATTTGTTTTTGTCGTTTGGATCATTTATGGTATAAATGATGATATGCAATAGCGGTTTTTTAAAGATACATAAAAGTGTGATTATATATTCATTTTATAGATTATAATTAAAGAATTATTCAAATTCACGATGTATATTTCAGTTCGTATATTTAGATATTTTCACGATAATTTTATACGTCCCGTGATATTATAATTGAAGAAGTATTCATATCCAAATGTATACTCGGCGCCAATGAAAACGCAACACTAAAATTTTGGACATAAGATATTCTTCACAACAAGGATTAGATTCTTATTCTGCTGTATTTAGCCACAACACAATGCACTACAAAACTAACGAAATAATGGTCGAGTAATATCAACTCCTTGTCGTACCACAGGGCATTGTCGTAAAAGCATGAGTTCGCACGTCGGCGCTATAAAGTGCGTTATATCCTTGCTCAGTCACTACTAGTGAACACTGTAGTTACAGGCAGACATTTTCCAGTCATCAATTTTTTAAATTGTCATCATTATTTGCTACAAATGCCTCGACTGTCAGACAATGAAAGACACGAAGCTCGGGGTATGCTGGCAGGAGGGCTTTCTCAGAGGGAAGTTGCCAGGAGAATGGGTTGTTCTGCTTACACAATCAATCGACTGGCAGAACGAGTGCGACAAACCGGATCCGTGAGAGATCGACCTCGTCCGGGGCGACAGAGAGAGACGACGCCAAACCAGGACCGTTACATTCGACTAAGTCACCTGCGAGATCATTTTCAAACCGCGACAAGAACGGCTAGACAGACGATGGGAAGTCATGGCAGACGTTTGTCAGCTAGTACTGTGCGCCGTCGCCTTCGCACAGCCGGATTGGTGTCGTGCCGTCCATTTAGAGGAAACGAATTGACTCAAATTCGCCGTCAAAATCGTCTAAATTGGACAAGACGGCGCCGAGGATGGACCCAACGTCTGGCGTCCTGTTCACCGACGAATCGAGATTCCGCCTCAGAGGAAATGACGGTAGAATTCGAGTGTGGCGACGTCGAGGTGAAAGGTTTTTGGGCTGCTGTGTAACGGAAACGGATAGGTGGGGCGGGGGCAGTGTGATGGTGTGTGGAGGTATCTCTTTTGCATACCGTACCCCTCTAGTAATTATTGACGGCAATCTAACAGCACAGCGCTACATCAACGAGGTCTTAACTCCTGCTGTTGTTCCATTCTTTGCTGGACACCCAAACGTAGCGTTATTACAACAGAACAATGCACGACCACATACCGCTCGTATCACTACAGACTACCTTCAACATCAGAACATCGCAACCCTTCCGTGGCCCGCGTTTCCCCCGGATCTTAGTCCGGTCGAGCATCTTTGGGACCAATTGGGTAGGGCTGTGATAGAGCGACCACAACAGCCTCAGACGCGTCGGCAGCTTGAAATCGCTCTTCAGGAAGAGTGGAGGAACATTCCTCAAATCAAAATTCAACGCCTTATTCGGTCAATGCCTCGAAGATGCCGCGCTTGTGTCGCTGCAAATGGTGGCCACATTAGATATTGAACGTGGTAATTTTGATTTTAGGGGTATGGACATTAGTCACCGGAAATCAAAGTATTCCCATGATGTAGTGCTGATTGCATTGAGTGAATTTTGTTATGGACATAATCAACTTTTAGGTATTTTATTAAATATTGTATTCAAAACTATAACTGGTAAATTTTGACAGTAATTTAAAGGTGTTGCGTTTTTATTGACGGCAAGTATATATAGATTTACGTTCTATTTTACCGATACATTTACACAAAATCAATACGATACCTAGCATAGTCATAATTCTTATGTTTGTACAAGAAAACTGTGTAATGTTAAGAAGTCGGACGCTCAGGTCATGAACATACAGTAGCAATTTTGAATATATAAAGTCATATATCACTGTCATAGCTTAAACAACAACGGTGCTGGAACTACTAAGCACATTACGGTTTGGACCGGAACGGTTAGGCGACCGAATGGATTCACATTTTGCAAATCGAACGCACCCGTGATAATCACCATCGCAGACACGCTTAAAGCAAAATGTCGAGTACTCCACGGTTGCCGATCCCCAGCAACAGAAATCTGTTCCTAGGGAGAATTAGATCAATGGTTAAATATGCTGTTAGCAATAGAGGAAACTTTATGATGCGTCACAGGTAAAGACTATCCTTACACCAGTTTCATACTGTACATTGTCACTAAATTTGAAATAGGTTCAACATCCGACCTTGATCTAGGTCAAGATCGACAAAATCATGATACGGTTTTATTGCATTGTCAGGTGTTGAAGTCGACACGTTCACATGTGTTCCGTTTGTGATAAACGACTCACTCTGTAAGACCTACCTGTCGTACATTTGGACATTGACTGGCAATTGGGTTATTTTTCAAGATATTCTGTCATACTTCATTCTCTATCAGGTTGGACACAACCCATCGTATGGGAAATATTTATTTATTTTTTTTGCATATGAGGGGCTTAGAGGGGATGTGTCTAACCTGTTTATCAGGTTAAGTACAACCCAGCATGTGAATATAGTATTGCTGTTCAAAAATACATTCACGTATATAGGGATATATCAATTTTTCATCGTTTGTGAAAACATGTATCAGTTATTCTTACCTCAGGATATTATACCGAACACAGGCCTAGGAGACCTCTCTATTCGGCTCCTTCTTTCTAATTGTTCCAGGTGGAACAGCTCTATAGTCATTCTTATATCTTTGTCCCCACAGTTTTCTGTTTTAGAACAGAGAGACACAGCTAATGTCAAAACTATGAAAGGGATATGTTGTGATACACATCGAGATACTGTCTAACTGCATCATGATAACACTTCAGACATATCATCTGTCCTTTGTAAAAGTCCTGTACTTATATGACATTAATGCATTCATGAATTAATTTGTTACTCAAATGCCAGGTAGGCCTAATTTGAAATAGAAGCACATGAACTTTCCTCTAAATTTGGCATCAGGAAAGAGCATCATTGTTTCTATATGACCCCAAAGCAAAAGAGACTCGCACTTCTATATTTGCAAGACATTGGGAGCATTGAGTACATATTAAATAAATGAGTACAAAGTTTTATGTGTTCCATTTTTAGCCACACTATAAGCAATGGAGATGATAGAGTTTATCTTGCCAGAAAGTGAGATAATTCAATTTTCCTTTTTTTGTGAAAGAAATGTACCATGTTGCATAACTTATTGGGCCATGTAAAATAAGGCATGCAAATGTTTAAAAGAACAAATTGATTACTCAAAGCAGTTACTGTCATGCAAATACAAGACTATTACCCATAACAGTGATTGTTTCCAACCTGTTGATAACATGGGTCTATCTCATCAGCTGATGATAGGGCATTTCTTACAGCTAGTGTCAGTCAAAATTGGGCTAGTTTACAATCTATAGAGAATGTTTCATTATATGAGAAGATGAAGATCTTTACATCCATGCTAATTTTATGTCAACCAATGTCTGGGTGTTATGAGACTTAGTATATATATATCTGCTGTTAACATTCCATTTCGGTCTCATCAGTATATGAGCAGATAACAGTAGTGATCTTTAGAGAAAATCATATCAGACCTAGCAGATATCACTAATTTTGTTATTATTTACAGAAGGCTTCAAAACAGTTACTTATATTTTTGCTGGCTTTTTTTCTGCAATTTTTATAATATAAAGATTTGTTCTTTTCTACCAACAGCACAGGAGCTTTAGCAACATATGGAGGAACGGCATTGGCTATGGCAATATTTCTGTTTGATTTCACACCTATCCTGGGTCGTATTCCCTACATCAAAAATTCTTATCCACTACCTGAACCTGTAAAGGACAAGAAATGATGTGGTATTGTACTCTATTTAGATGAAGGTATTTTATTTTCTAGCTATACATTTATATATCTTGGCACTGATGACTTTGGGTGTAAAGAGAGAATTTCAATATTACTGTTTTGATGAAAGTTGTAAAAGTTTTCCTGTATAGAATAGTACATTATGAAATGTTACTAAGTAAATTTATTTGTAACTATCAATAAATAATATTCCTACTGATGTTCATGTGTTATTTAATTTCTAGAACTTATCTTACTCTCAGTTCTTGCCTGGCTACTGTCATTGATACATGGGGAATACTGGTTTTAATCTTTGTAATCATAATTGATCTTCTTGGATAATAATTTCTCTTTTCATGCAGACTGAGACTATTCTGTTGATTCAGATATGAAAGAATTGATTTCTGCTACAAGACAAAACAGTAACATTGAATTGCTAAGTTTCATAATAAAAGTTGGTTCAATACAGTAAATATTGCATGTCCGAAGTGGCTTGTCAACACAAATAAGTATTGTTTCAACTGGCTTGAGACAGTCTACTCAGGTCATCAGTAGATAGATACAACATATACAGTATGTGTCAATAGTACTGTTGTATACTGTCTAGAAGTATTTGAGGAAGAATGTCAGACTGTGGATGTCAATTGAATGCAAACATGAAAAATCTCTCCCCCGCCCCCTAAACTCCACTTTTGAGGCAACAACTGTGGTACTGTAAAATGAAGTTATGCACCTCATTTCATTGAAATGGCAGGATTACAAGAACATTTTATGCTATTAGTTTATAAAGTTTACTAATGTAATACAGTGGTAATGTTACAATAGCGAGATCAATGGAATGTGATATAACAGGATTTGATTGGTTTTCTTCTTGATTTTACAGAATTGTGTAACTGTGGAATTCAGTCTAGAGGAGGATATGTGTTACTTCAGGGATTTTTGGTTGAGAACATCAGAGACAAGTCCTTGGAAGTTTCTCAACTCTGGAACTGTTTTGTGAATTGTTTTTCAGTTAAAATTAAACTAGAATAAAATTCATATTTTTGTGTTGTGTTCAATGCATAATACTATTGGTAATGATATTTAGATGGCTCATCATGATTCAGAGGACTGTAAATTGTTTATACGAGGGTCGATTGATAAGTTGTGAGCCTAATATTTAAGGGTCTGACTTTTGGCAGACATATTTCATTATTTTCCAACATAATCCCTTTCAGTATCTACACTTTACCAGCGATGTTTAAAGGCATCATTAATGCCAAATTAAAGAAGTCCTTTTCTTGACCGTTCAGAAAGTCCTCCACTGCGTGTATGACATCATCATCAGAAAAGTGGGTACCGGAAATGATTTTTTTCAATTTTGGAAATAGATGAAAGTTAGATTAAGCAAGATCAGGTGATTAAGACGGATGCCCAATCAATTCAAAGTCACAGTCATTAATGACAGCCATGGCAATGACAGACTTGTGAACAGGGGCATTGTCCTGGTGGAACAACACTCACAGAGTTTTCTGCGGAACTTGAGTTTGATATTTTCTCTTAACTGCCTAAGAAATGATGCATAATAAGTGCCATTGCCTGTTTGTCCCTTTAACAGATAATCTTTCCAGCTGATGGAACAGTCTTTGTCTTCTTTGGCAGGGATGAACTCCGGTGCTTCTATTGTTGAGACTGTTGTTCGGCTTCTGGGGTGAAATGATGGAGCCATGTTTCATTTATAGTCACAAACCCTGCAGAAAGTTAGGAGGATCTGCCTCTAAAATGTTCATATTAGCATGCGATTCAGTTGCCTGGTGTGCTTCTGATCAACTGTCCAAAGACTTGGTACCTTACAGGCCAAGAGCTTTCTCATTGTAAGATCTTCCACAAGAATGGAATGTTCTCTTTCCTGTGAAATCCCAATTGTACTGGCTATATATCTCTGTAACTCACCTATCAGCCATAACAATATCATGGACTTTATTGACCATTTCTGGGGTTGCAACAGTGATAGGCCTTCCAGGATGGATGTCATCCCCAAGGCTCTGCCTGCCATGCTTAAATTCCATCACCCACCTTTTCATTGTAGCATATGAAGTGTCGTCATTCTTTGGTGTTGCCAGTATGGATATCCTTAGGTGTTAGACCTTTCTTATGCAAATATTGAATCACTGCTCTTTCAGCAATTTTGTCCATTTGCAAAAGTCATTTGCATTATTTACTTTAGAGTGTTACCTTTTCGACATAAACTGACCAAATGACACCAGTCTACTGGTACACAGCCTTAAACAGTGTGGGAATAATAAAGCTGAAAAAGGACATCCCTGCTTAACATCTTCAATACAATGCTCACAACTTATCAATCAACCCTCATACATATCTGTCAGAGTTGGTAAGTTCATTCATTTGAAGAAGCTTCATGGTTTTCATCCAGTTAACTACCCGGTACTAGCCATATTTCATCACCCATTTGGTTACTCAAAGATAAGAGTCACCAATGCTCAATACACTTCCGAAAACATGAACGACTATAGTAATTAAATTTGGCTAGTGGTTTGATGATGTAGAAATTTACAATTTTTTTCAAAAAGGAGAAAACCTTGATTGCACAGTGATATTTTTAGCCCACATCACTATCAGAAGGTGGGCTATTCAAATCGCTCTGGTCTACCCATCAGTAATCATTGACATGCAGCAATCTTGGGTTTTTTCAAAAGAGGTTTGTAGTTATCGCTATTTCTTGACAAGTACTGAACCAATTAAAAAACCAAAATGGTTTTGCAGATAAAGATTATCATGGCTATTTCTTGGAGGAATTTTCAAATTTAATAAAAGCAAATGAAAATTATCCAACTTTTTAAGAACAATGGTGGGTGCCCAGTTCACTCTGGGATCTCTTGTTTTGGACATGAAATATGAGGCCCATATTTTGAACCCTCTCTTTCTCATATGGATATATCCCAAGGTCTTACATGGCTTGGGGTTTGCTAAAATTGAATGTTTTAAAATCTTGAGAAAATATTTAAAGTACCATCCAAATCGAGGCAAGGGATCAAATGCAAATGCATTGAAAATTTCGTAGTTATAAAAAAAGACATGGTATTTTTACCATTATTTAATATCAGTTCAAAGGGCTTTTTTTACCTTAATATATAATATAGATATACTGGTTCAAAATAAAGTGTTTTTCAATGGATGGGGCATTTCAACTAAAATTCAAAATAATGATGAACTTTCCAGGTAAATGCGAAGAAATTCAATAAAGATTCACCCTGTTGTTTACCCATCTTGAAATGTCCCCGCCAGGCTACATATATGACAGAAGTCATGGAAGTTGACTACAGCTAGTTCAGTCAGTAGTTCGTTGAAGTGAAGGGCTATCAGATTTCAACAAATTTTAAAATGACAGAATCACAAAAATAAAAAAAAAATAATTCTTAGGCCTAGACTTGTAGTAAAATTTGAATAGAAATTATGTCTTGTATCCTTCATCTTTCTTTTTATCCCACTTGTATATTAGCCAACTATCATTAGATGGTAGACTATTTAATTTGTCCTACAGTGGTAGTCCTTTGTCCATCTGTAAACAATGCTTGTTATCACTGTTTCTTGAGAAGTACCTAAGTGATATTTCTGAAATTTCCACTTTGTCCCTAGTTGTGCCATTTCAAGATTGAAACTGATCCAAAAACTTAATTAGCTGGCAGGCAGCCATCTTAGATTTTGACATTTTAGGCTTGTTTTCAATATGGAGAAGTAGAAGGATATTTCTTTAACCATTAAAATTTTAGTTTGATAGAGGGAAAAAAAATGGCCAACACGTGGCCATCTTGGATTTTGACTGTTGATATTATTTGTGCTTTTTCTTGTGAGTCAAGGAAAGATAATTTTTCAAATTTGTTGTGTAGGCTTCCTTTGGCCCCTTCTTATGCTATTTAATTCTGTGTGTGCTCAATAAATAACAGCAGTAAATGTCAAATACTGACAACAATTAGTCTATCTTTAGTTTCTGTCCAGCATTAACCATGATTGAAGTGGTTGACAGCTCATTTGAGTTTTCTGCTGAACATATAAGAGATGTTCACAGGGAATGAATGATTTTAACATTTACAACTTTCTGTAGTAAACACACTGAAGTCACCAGTGGTACTTTTGTGATACAATACTCCTGGAATGGAAACAATTAGTACAGTAGTTTAATTAACCTATACACTTGCTAGTTGCAAACTGTTGGAACAAATTGAGGTATACATCTTGCTGATATCAGAAATACAGTTGGAACCTTGCTGGTATCAGAAACATGGTAGGAACTCTTGCTGACACCAGAATTACAGTAGGAACCTTGCTGACATCAGAAACACACTTGGAACCTTGCAGGTATCAGAAACATGGTAGCCACTTCGCTGACACCAGAAACATGGTAGGAACCTTGCTAACATCAGAAAAGCCATAGGAACCTTGCCAACATCAGAGCACAGTAACTCTGCCTAACATCAGAAACATGGTAGGAATCTTGCTAACATCAAACACAGTAGGAACCTTGCTGACATCAGAAATACAGGAGGAACTTCTCCGACTTTTCTCACTTTTCTCAATAAATTCAATACTAGAGCCTAGAATTTGTATCAAATGTTTTATTACCGAAATTTGGCAAGTTATCTCCCTTAAGTACAGTTGCGATAATGCACAACGCATCAAAAACTTTGTGTGTACATTCACACTAAACAATATTGTGCATAAACTCTGCGATAGGATTGCACATTTGTTCAGTTTGGTAAAAATAGTTGGCCAATAACAGAATTGAAAACTTGTGTATTTATGACTAAATAGCAATCACAGCAATATTAAAATTGATCAATGATTATAAAAGTCATTTTCAATTCAAAAGTTTTCGAAATACTATTGACCCCAGCATTAATTAGTCTTATTGTACATTTGTATATAGCTTCACACCTCAGAGTGGCGAGTGGTGTACCTCGGCGACAAAAATTTACCTGTGTACAGGTATATATGACTGGTCAGGATCTGAACCAATACTGAAGATTACCTGAGTATATATTTCTGTTTATAAAATGATAGAAAAATAAAAGTAATACAGAAATAATGAAAATAAAATTTCCTTTCTGACAGTATGAAATTTTATATGATTCATTGCCGTGACAAAAAGAGACGTCTATTTAATGTTGACATTTGTAACGTATATAAGACTGGTCATGTGTGGTACTTTGTAAACAGAATAATTTAAGTTACGAATATATGTTAACCATTCACTCTGTATCTGATATACCTGGAAGTGCCCAACCTATATATTAATGGTTTAATTCAGGAATATACTTAGTTGTACTCTTATTATTCAGAAAATGAATCAACCCTATCCCACACTTATCTATAAGTAATTTCAAAATTTATATCAACCATGGTAGAATTGAAAATCTAAGGGATAAAATCGTATAATGTGCACAAAAATGTGCGATAACTTATTTTGTCCAGTTTTTCCTATTACACGTACATCATGCAGACATCGCATATTGTGTAACATTGCCTGATCCCACAACTGTAAATGATGAGTCAATCTCCTGAAAGGAGTTTTAAAATACATTTGCAATGGGCTATAAAACATCAAATACATTTTTCAACTACTTCAAATTTGAATGATGTCTGTACCTGACAAACTCAGCACTTCCAAAGATGGTGCTTACGTTATCTTACAGAAATGAGTTGCATAAAACAGTTGCATGACAAATTTCTCCATTGAATAACACCATAATATGTCAGAACACTTCATTACTTGAACAGGAAGCATCTGGTTATAAAAAATCAAACAGAGAGGTCATATCTTGCAAAAAAGAAACAATAATAACAGCAACATAATTTGAATTACATTTAGTGGCTCATGATCCATGAGCACTTAGTCACGTCTTTCTTTAGGCTCCAGGACTTTTACCCAAGATGTAAGGCTTTGATTGACTCTCATGACAAAAAGAAACATCACCAAGCACACCCCTAACACAGTGAAACAAGAAACTGCCTCAAATACAAAACGGGGTGCAAAAATCTTCCACACCATCAGATGTCTTCGGTGAAGTCCTGCTGCACACACTGCTCCCAGCACCTGAATAAAAAAACAAATGTCTCCAATATCTTGTGTTGGACTTGCTAGTTTAAGCTTTGTTGCCTTTTGGACTTGCCAAAAGATTTCAAAACATTAAGAAATAATCATTAGTGAGGTAAGTGAATTTAAATTTGCTGAGTTTGGTAAACTCAAACAAAACTTGAGGGTACCAAACAGCCAATCTTTCCTCAAATTAGACACAATTTAATACCAAAACCATTATGAACAATTTGTTTAATGATGTTATTTAATTATTCTAACAAATTTTACCCCTATGAGACAGAATTTGAGACAGAGATACTTCTTAAAACAACGACAGCTTCTACTTCCTGCCATCACCAGATCTAGAGTACAAATGTAAATGTCTTGCCTTTGAATATTTTAAACATATCTCTGAACTTATGTCAATGTTGACTATTAATTCAGAATTTCATTTATCTAAATCCTATAACCCCTAGTAGCCTGTGTCGTTTCAGCAATCTACCAGCATATGTTGCAGCTATATGAGATACCTTTCTAATCTAATTAATCAACAAGGCATTCCAAATGATACAAATTCTCTTTTAGGATAATAAAAAGAGGTGGAGGAGTCCAATGTCCTGTGAGTGGTACTAGTTGGTAGATGTATTGGTAGAAGAATCTTTTAGTTGACTAGTGTATGATATAAGTTAACCAAAGAGTGAAGTTTGAGCAAAACGTCTGATTTTCTAAAATCGGTAATGGTGACCATAACCATACAACTCTGAAACTCGAATCGTCCAAGATACCATAATGTTTTATAACTGGGAAGTTTGATCATATCCCTCAAGGAATAAAGCCACTGGAGTGATGACAAGGTTTTTAAAAATATTCACGATGTCATTGACCTTGATCCAACAACCCATAAATTTGAAATCTGAGAAAAATAATATATACAAAATATAGTCCTGTGTTATGTGTGATATTAAGCTGCTAGAGTAATGACAAATTTGGGTGTTGGTAGCATCATTATATCCCCTTACATTGGATAATCATTGATCAATGTAAAATGTAATGTTAATCACTTTTCTTCCTTCAAATTAAACCACCTTATCTCTACATATTTATAATACAAAAGCACGGTCATGCCTCAGAACATACCTTGATACCACTCAGAAGTGTGAGACTTGTGTATAACTGAAACATTCTCTTTTTCAATAACTCCTCATCTTCACACAAAGCAAAGTCACCCTTAGATGTCCTGTCAACCTCCATGTTGGTCATGAGTGAGGAAATCATGCCTTTGATCATTGGCCAGAAGACCCACAGTGGTGCTAGGACCCCCAGGAGGACTTGAGCTGCAAATGTGTTGAGATATATCAGTATCGCTGGGAGGGCATAGTTTTGGAAGTCTCCATGGAAACCAATGAAGGCTGACTCAAATCTGATTGTGGGGACAGTGGCCTGGTGTCCAGTTGTGTAAAAGTAGAAGCTGGACAGGACGGTATGGTACACCACAACACCCACAAGATTCCATGTCACTGCAAGGCCAATATCATAGATATCAACATCATTTCATTATAAAATGGTTCACATCTGCAACTCATTATATATACCATTATCTCAACACCAAAACAAAACAAGTTAAGTTGGTTTACTTATACAAGAGACAAAAAAATAAAAAGTCATGATATACTTTAGTTTCGTCATCAAATTTTAGGGTTTCATACTTATACACAACTATATTCTCTATTACTCCCTCCCTGTAAGTTGTAACTTCAAAAACAAAGACTCATGATACATAACTAACAATCTATCAACGACTGCCAAGTTGACCAGTATGGAAACAGGAGCATGCCTATTTGTTATAATATGGTAGGGTTGGGTCCTTCAAGTGAATAGTATTGCCCAGCTACTAGTCCAACATTTCATGTCAGGTGGGCAAAAAAGTCTAGAAACAATGAAACTTACTAGTGATGATGCCATAATAAGCTAATACTGAGATTGATGTATACATATATACTCACTAACAGGTTACCAATTCATATGCTATAAAGATAATTACAGAGAAATGAGGAGATTACCATTGTGACTTTCCTTTGTCGAGCTGATCAGGTGCGCTGTATACAACTCCAGAAAAAAGTACATGGTCAATGTTAGTAAGAATATACTTGGAGCCACTCCATCACCAAGTAACATAGTCAGTAGGATGGTAACTATGGCTGCCAGGCTTATGATGGCAGCTGAGAACACTGTGGCAAGGCCATACACCATTGGTGGCTGCTCTTCCTGGGAATCATGTAAGTTCTGCTTGACCCTGTTGTACAGCTGAGGGATGATATTACCACTGTTTGGCATGCTGTAGTTATCTTTGTTTTGGCGAATCATGTGGATGGTCAGTGGTTTGACCACAACTATGACTAGGGATATCCCAGTGAGTATATACACTGATTTAGGCAGGAAAGTCTGCTGCCACACTGGAAGTGAGTCAAGGACTTTCTGTGGTAGAGCATACAATGCCCAATGCAGACCACAACAACATGTACTCATTGGCAGTAAGTACCGAATACAAACAACACTTCCGGACATTCCATTCAGGTTCCCAAAGTGGAACAAAAGTCTTCTTGTAAGGATTACTGTCAGAGCGAGGCAGCCAACACTGAGAAAGTATCTTAGGTTACGAAGATGTTCTAAATCGTCAACAAGACCAGACAGTGGACGCAGAAACAGTGACAACTCACAAGTATGTTGCTCTTCCCTACAGGCCTTAAAGTTCATAGACAGTCGAAGACACGTACAGAGCACTGTTGTCATAGCAATGGTTAACATGCCTGGATGAGTCAGTATCAACATGATATCAAATGGTTTTTGTTTTTTGTGTTTTGGCTTCGTATCATTTGGACCTGTTTCATGCTTTTTGAAAATTTGAGAAATAACTTTGATACAGTAAATTGTATTTAAACTTTGTGCAAGAAAAAGAAGTATGGTATCTTCATAAACAACAAAACTGTTGCTGAAAAATGAAAGAAAACATAGGAGGCACACAACAGCATTGTATGTAAATGTTATCAATGGAAAATGCTGCTCTTTCTTTTGATTTATCATAAGATCAGATATCAATTTTGGTCTTTTTGGTGAAAATCTAATATTTATGATACTGAGTACGATGATGTTGACAAACCCCAACAAAAACACCATGAAAGAACTGATGATCTCACCTACAAAAAAGCAATGAAAAACTGCATACACCATGTAAACCATACAGAATAGCACAACAACAATTACTGTACTTGGCACTTCAAACTTCTTCCAAAATGATAGCTGAACAAAGTATACATTGATCAGGATAGTTAGGAACAATGACATGATGCCAATGGTGATGGACATGAGGTCAAACTTTGCCCAAATACCCTGACAAATGGCTTTGACCTGTGATGTGTATGAGTTGTAAACTTGCTCCAGTTCTTCTAACTGTCTGACCATGTGTTCATTATCACCTGATTTCACCATGGCCGTTACTAGAGCCTGAAGGTTGTGTTCTGCAGTATCTAACATGCTGTCTAGCTCATAATACTTGTTAATTGGAAAGTCTGATGACACTTGGGCATATGCCTTCAGGTAGCGGCTGACCTGGATTGCATTCAGACGCAATGCCTTCACAGCATGGAATACCTGAAATTATGAAACATATTTTTGTGTTAAATGTGTTTTACTGATATCTGTATTTATCCTGCAATAAGCCAATGCCTGGTAATAAGCCTATCCATATATAACTACTGTATTTATGTGACAATTGGCCCATGTCTGGTAATAAGCCCACCCATTTATACATAGCTGTTCAGTGAAATCATAAACCTATGCTATTTCATTGTCCTACAATAAGCCCACCACTGGCTTTGAGTAAGAAGTATGTGCTTTACCCCTAGGTCTACATACAGTTAGTGTTTTATATTTTCTGTGTTGAGTTATGTAAAACGAGCTATAATATGTATTTTCCTATGAGGTTGTTTGTATCTCTAAGGAATTTTTTTATATGATTGAGAATGCATTCTAATTTGTGTTTAGTGGAAATGGGGAAAGTAGCTCCTTCAGTTAAAGACCATCCATTTAAAGTCCTGAATAACTTATTAAGGCATTTTCCCTAGTATTACAGTGGTACTTGTGGCCTGTGCTTGTTCCAAGAAACGTGAAGTGTATTTGGCAAGGGTAAGCTGGAACCCAGTTTCAAATAGCTTGGCCTTTTGCCATGAAAGCTTTTGAAAATAAGCTGAAGAATCATTAGTGGTCTTGTAGTTCCTTCAAAATCACTTTCTGTTTAGAGTTTGGAAACTTTGTCCAAGGCTTCATTATAAGCAGAACAGGGATATTAAAGCTTCATCAATCAATCTAGAGTTCAGAGGTCACAGCTTTAAGTCATAGTTGAGGTCTAATCAATACATTACATTTTTTTCCTGCATAATTTGGGGCTCAATAAGGGCACATTACAAATGACAAAACCTTTGTATTTTTCTCAATGCAAACATTAAGCTTCCAAAAGTAATGGCAGTGCAAAAAACTGTCAGACATATTTTGGTGTTATTCTTACAAGTTCCTGTTAGATTGACCGTTAAGCACCGAGATTCTGATAGAATATGTACATCTGTACAGTATCAAATTGTGTGAGAATAAATGAATGATCACATCATTCTCTAGTATAAGTGTACATGCAGCAAATGTAAATATATGTCAGCACTCTTTACTGCTGCTCTGTACACATAATTAAAACCTGTGAGAGATAATTACCTGTTTTAGTTTACTTGTACTGGTTCCCCACCAAGGGCAGTGGTTGAAGAGATCTGTGATGATTCGTCCCAGGTTTGAAAATGGAATTGGAACTCCCATCAACAATGCCAGTGTGGGTACAAAGTCAGTCTGGGATATAGTCTCAAAAACATCCTTTAATAAAACAAAATTATAAATTATCAGCACATGTCCTTCATATTTAGTACTAAATACATTAATTAATAGTGTTACAGGGTTTTGGAACATTTTCTTCAGGTTGGTAATGTCAATAGAACAAAAGTTCTTATAAAACAACCAGTAGAAGATTAGAGTGTGACGTTTCTGTGATTACACGGTGACCTTCATCAGACAAATGACCAGTGTGAAACATACTAGCACTGATACATATAGTGTACCAGATGGTAAGGAATCAACCAACTTTTTCAGCTGTATCATAATCCTATGTACTAAGGTAGAAAGTATTTAGGAGGTGTAAAGATTACAGAAAAAAGTACACATTTAAGATGGTATTGTTAATCAGCGTTTGTGTTTAATATAGTACACCTCAATTATGTTTATATAATACATACTGTCTGAGATGCTGAAGAAGGAGATGTTATTTGTACAGGACTGTATATAAACAATCCTGCCTCCAGCTCATCCATACTGTCACCACCATGGTCCCCGGTTATTGTCATTCCATGATCACCCATCACAAAAAGTATAGTGTCATCCTTCATGCGACTGGTTATGTTACTGGTGTCAAAAAAAAAAATTATATATAAATACTTTTATTTTACATGTTATCTTGACTGAAAAAAAAAATCCCAAACTTGTTTTATTCTAAAGTAACAAAAATTATCCTATCAACAAGAAAGAATAAACTTCACAAATATGAAACAGATTCTATCAGATTCACCACATAAATCAAAGCTACAAATAACGATACAAGCTACTACACTTTATATAACATCAACAGTTTACCTGTGACAGTTACATTTGGTGCCTACATAAATGTACTAGGTATATTGAACATTAAATCAATAACCACAGTGCCAAGTTACACAACAGCCATGGCTTATCAAAACCATATCTTATATGTGAAAGGCATTCAGAGATGAAATACAGTAGCAGAAAACACACCTGGTAATTCAAATTTGAAAAATTATTCAACTTTCAGCTTTATAACTTAGTGGTTTGCTAGGATTATGGGAGTCAAGAAATTAAAAGGCTGCATGAATACTTCATTTGTAAAGAAAACAGCATTAAATTAAGCATATCCAAGCTCTATCTTAGAAAAAAGGTGAGTAAACGCTTATTGGGGAATGTGTGATCATTAGTTTGAATACAAAAAAAAGAACCGACTGTAGTGATTGTCTATTACAACAGTCCCGTTGTATTACAATAATACTAATTTTGCATAGAACATTTTCTGGCATTCATCAACTTAATTTCCACTTTTGTGGGTTTTCTTTCTGTTTTAAACTTGACCTATCTGTTTGTTCTAACGATAAGTAATGTGTTACTGTACCTGATAACCTCATTCATCTGAGTTAACTTTTCTGCCATGGCTGGATGATCAGGTCCATAGCGATGACCGCAGTGATCAACACCAAGGAAATGAGCGATTGTCACTGACCAATCCTTCTTGTTCAACTGCCCAAACAAATGCTTCAAGATGCCATCATCAACTGTATGAAGATCTTTGACATTGAAAGAAGGAAACGGATATGCCTTCTGAAATCTGCCTGGAAAAAGACTCAACCAAGTATCATCCCCGAGAAACTTAACTACTTTTCCTTGCTTTACCATCTGGTCTATGACATTGTCCTCTTTTATCTCAGAACTTGCAAAATTTGCTCCAGCGTCAACAAATGTTGGTAGGCTTCCTGTTGTTAATCCCTTCAGTCTTTGAAATGTTGTAGTTGGGGGATCTGCCATAAATTTATACAACTTTGAATTTGCTGGTTTACTGTTCAATAAATTTCTGATAATTGGAAGCTTATTTTTGTACGGAATATCCTTTTTTAATGTGTGGTCGTATTTCATGAAGTCGAATCTCAATGCATCTATTACAACAACTATGGCTTTGTTGAAGCGACTGTGCATCCAGCATCCTTGCTTACCATGGTCATCAGTGTATCGACTGAAGTCTACGACACATGAACTGTTTTGGTCAACGACAACTCTTTTCAAGAGGAAGCCCTTGGCAAAAATCAAAAGACTGCATGTGTACATAAATGCAAGGAAGATAAGCAGTAAGAAATACTTAATAAACAGCCCCATCTTTCTGTTTTTTAGTTCTTCTACATGTTGACATCAACTTTCACATCTTTTACGGATTACTTTTAATACCGGCAAATCCGGTACTAATATTACATGTTTACTTCCGGATCCTATAATACTTTTTTTTCAAAGTAGTTAGGAAATGTATTTAGAATTGTGATTATTTTGCAACAACCTAAATATAAGAGTTTTAAAGTTACTGTTATATTCACTAACGGGTCTATTCTTCAAATACCGTGCCTCATTTGAATACAGTCATTCGAAAATTGGACCGAGTAACCTCCCATGAAAGGTGCGTTCGTTGCAGTACTTAGCTGCGACATGTTTCCTAAAACAGCGCGGCAGTATGTTTAATGATAGCTCTGTAGTTGATTTAGCTCGCGTGGAAACGGATCCCAACTATTCATCTTCTCTCAAACAACTCTATGAGATATGTCCAGACCTTTGTGGAAAGAAAACACGGAATACATCTGATGTAATTTAGTTTTGTGGTCAAAGTGAAAGTAGAGTTCTGTAGCTTTCATAGTACTGTTGAGGTTGTAACACATTAATTTGTTAATAAGTCACGGCTATTAAAATACGTGTCATTGTGAATATGTAACTAATAACAGGAAATGTACTAGCTTTCAATGCTAGTGATTTATTTCCGATTTCTGATTTTCTTCAGCAGCTCGATGTGCCTCAATAGAAATGTTTAGAGGTAGTACGACTAATTTGAAGGCATTGATTACAGTATGTTGTGTTTTGTCACTTGTATGTCTAAGGTCATATTGATTTTCAATGTTTTCAGATTGCATATCTTGAAAGCCGGTATGCAGCAGCCCTGTTTTTCATAATGAAATCCTGTGATAGATTAAGATTCATAAAACAACCTGGAGACTGTAGCTATGTGAAGGCGATGAGGGCAATAGATGAAGAATGTCAGCTTGCCAGAGAGAAACAACAACAAATCTCCTGTTTACCAATACAGGATACAGTCTGGTCTTTAGATAGGATCTTTGACCATACAGGTAAAGATGCATGATATTGTGTATGTAAACTACAAATTCATATGTTTGTTAACTAGTTTAGCTTTCTTCTATTGTCATCAGCAGTTGCTAAAGATTTGAATGACGAGCCTCAGGTTTGGTGACTAATGTCTTCTGTAAAAGTGTCAAACTTAATGTCCGATGTTGGTCTATTGGAGCCAATCATTCTTATTAATGAAAGATGAAAAAGCTTTCCCAGTGATTTTGTATCTACTGAAGCATTCAACATAGATACATAAATTAGTGAAGCTTTTATCTATACCACTTAAAATGTTTCTTATTTAGGGTGCACACCTGTATTGTATATTCTTTAAGACCTGGGTCCGTATTCATGAAACCGTTCTCATGCTCAAGCATGAATTTTGTGTTCAAGCCTTATGTCTTGTTAAAGTTAAAAATTAATAAATAAGACTGATTTTGCCAAAGATTTTAAACAAATTTTGAAAGGACTTCAAATCAAAGTTATATTCAATTTTTATACTGACATTTGTATTATTTTATATGATTTAGGCGAATTATAAAAAAAGTCTGCTTCAGCACAAAATCTATGCTTGAGCATGAGAATGGTTTCATGAATACAAGCCCTGGTTTTATGGACTATATTTTTTTACAGAAGCTGCACGCATAGTACTAGTGATACAGGACCGGAGTTCTCTGGTGGTAGGGTTTACAGTTTGGGAAGCATCAGACATCACCTTATCTGAGCAAGTTCACATGGCCCTGTGTGCTGCCTGTTTGTACCCTGTAGTACACAAACCCCGTCGTCCTCGTTACTTCTGTATCATAGACAAGGACATTGCCAAGTATGTATCATAATACCAAGCAGAATAAGGAGTCATTTATCTTCAGAGACTTTTCAATAGATCGTGTCAGTTATCTTTTATCCAAACAATTTTAACAGCAATGTCAGCTTGGACTCTAAAATACCATTTACCATGTTTGATAATAAGTTATATACAATTCTTCAATTTTTTATTACCTTGAGCCATATAGCTCATCTGTTCAAAATAACATACAACATATACAGGTGTGAACAACAATGAAACACAAACATACTCATCCAACATATACACACCATCAGTTATAGAGTAGAGAGAATTAGAAGTATTACCCATGTACAATTAAATCATTTATTTTCTTGTTACTCGATATGATTAATTTTGTAAATTTGATCATTCTTTTTTGTTTACAGATTTCATAAGTTGGATAAATTTACACATACTTAGTCTTTTCCTATAATATTTCATAATGAAACCTTTCCTGAAATCTGCACATTGTTCACATTTGTTCACATCAAATGAAATTCACCTTCTGTGCCACAACTGTTACATAAAGTGCAGATTCTATTATTCCTTTCTATGTTATTTTCCTCTCAATTTCAATATTTAGTTTATGAGATGGCATTCTAAATTCTGCTATTTCCTTCCACTTAGAACTTCCTATAAATCTTATAACATGATTTTGATAAACAAAAGTCCTCACCCATGTATTCATAGAGCGAACATTTGAAAAATGATTTCATCTTTTCACTACATTCTTGTTTAAAGATATTGAACAATCTAGTTTTGATTATGTTTATATTATAATCAGGCATAAAAGTACCTTCATATTGCCACATGTACCCCACACCCAATCTTAATAGTTCATCTCTCACACCATATAGCCATTCACTTCCCTTTTCTAACATAACTTAGTAACAGGATTGTAAAGTACAGTTATCAGAATGTTTAAATCTTATCCAATACTTAAAAATATTAACTTTTCTGAGATTTACCAAATGAACTCTGCCTTGTTCTTGGTAGACCATCTCATTTGCAGTAGATTTCTTTAACCTTAATAATCTTTTACAATAAAATGAATGTAGTTTCTCAATATCTGGTGCTTTAAGAAAACCCCAGATTTCAGCCCCATGATTGAATATAATACAAACATATGTGTCAGAAACATGAAGTTGTGTTTTGAAATTAAATAATATTCCTTACAGACATTAGATACAGAAACCAATGCTTTTCTACCTTGAGCCATTTTTTGTTGTGTTTTATTAAATTTTCTGTTAAAAGGATATTATTCTCCGAAGTAAATGAACTTGTCTACATGTTCTTAAACACATCAATTAAATACCATTTATCTTCCTCTCGTAACCGAACAACATTTCAAATTACTGTCACTTTTGTTTTTGATGCATTTACTGAAAGATTCCATTTATTTGCATGAAATAATATTGGCCCTAGCATTTTCTGTAATTTCTCAGCAAACAGATACCACATTCAGATTTTTGCAGTCTGCCCTCTGAGCTAGCAGTCTTAAGTTTATGTATTGTTTAGATTTAGAATGTTAAAATATATATTTAAAATTGTGAAAAGTTGGCAAGCTGGAATCTCTAAGGATTGAAGAAGGTTCTACCTTTGTAACAAACTTTATATTTGTGATTTTTTTTATAGTAAAATGAAATGTTTATTCTTTTAATTCTTTAATTTCTCTCAATATTTTAGAAGAGTTAAGAAATTATCTTTCTCTTACTTTAATTCATTTGAAAATAACTTGAATGATTTCATGTCAAATGAGTTTTTTCTTTATTGACAGGAACTGTACTTTAGCTGTAGACAGACTAGGTATTACCTATGTCAAAGAACCTAATCTCACGCCAATGTACCATGTGTCCCCACACTTGACCAACACACGTAAACACATGAGCGCACTGTTCAGGGAGTGTACTGTCTGTAGATTCAGGGCTGAGAGAGAAATGTTTCACACTTGGTAATATATATATCTTAGTGCTCTAGTTTATAATACCATTTCATGAGGTTGTCTGGAGGACTTCCTTACAATCTGTTGTTGTCAATATTTTTAGATGTGTCCACATAGATCTGTCCTCCAATCGGTGATATCAAAATAAAAACGATAGACAATGGCGTTGTTGATCTTGGAAACATTACCTTTGACTTTCATTTGCAACATCTTTGATAAGCTACATCTTAATTCCAAGTTAACAATATGCCTCACTTTCATTTGCAACATCTTTGATAAGCTACATCTTAATTCCAAGTTAACAATATGCCTCACTCAAAGTCAGAATTGATATAAAGTTCACCTGTCTGTTACCAGTGATGGGTGTGGAGCAATGTTATACTGTACCAAGACCTGTGGTGAGACTGACTGGGGTCAAGAAGGACAAACAACCTTATACAACCACTCTAAATGGTGTCACAGAATCAAGACCTACATGGACGAGGAGAAACAGCTTGTAGATCTACCCTTCACTTTTACAACAGGTACCAATTTTCAGTAAATAAAAAATATCTGATATGATGTTGAGAGGATGTCACAAGTTGTTTCTGATTCTGTGGGTATTTACCAGTACGCCAGTGATACAGCTATTCTGTGATTCAATTTTATTATTTAAAATATAAATATGTGTATTATAAAGAAAATGTTTATATCCGTGCAACTGCTTAAAAAATTAATATGTTTTTTTGATAAGAAAAAAAATTGCTTTTGCACCACATCTTTAGAGAACACTAGATTGTATCGTTGTAGACTTGAAACATTTCTACAATTTATTGAAAATAATTTCTTGATATATCTGGGTATGCTAGAGACAACGCATCCTGAATTTGGCGTACTTCAATTGGAAGAATTCCTGCAAAGAATTGGATTACTTGGGCAGGGTTTGTGGCAGTGGGTGTGTCCCATGATGTTAGGTTCACCGGTCAGCAGGACACATGGTAGGAAGACATGCTGGTCATTGTAAAATCAGAACATATCATTGAGGTTTTCACAAGTAATTTTTTATTACTAGATTTCAGATAACTATCAACTCAAAAGGAAAAAGGAATATGATATCTTATTGTTTAATGAAATCAGATGATTAAATCTTTAATGAAATCAAATAATCCATTTCTCAAAAATGCATTTTTATCGTTTACTCAAATTTAAATAAAATGAAAAGTACATGTAAAATAAATGATAATCATTTATATGATAAGTGTAAGTCAGAAGAACAAGAAAGTTACCTGTACAATCATTATGACAAGTGTAAGTCAGAAGAACAAGAAAGTTACCTGTACAATCATTATCATGACAAGTGTAAGTCAGAAGAACAAGAAAGTTACCTGTACAATCATTATCATGACAAGTGTAAGTCAGAAGAACAAGAAAGTTACCTGTACAATCATTATCATGACAAGTGTAAGTCAGAAGAACAAGAAAGTTACCTGTACAATCATTATCATGACAAGTGTAAGTCAGAAGAACAAGAAAGTTACCTGTACAATCATTATCATAACAAGTGTAAGTCAGAAGAACAAGAAAGTTACCTGTACAATCATTATCATGACAAGTGTAAGTCAGAAGAACAAGAAAGTTACCTGTACAATCATTATCATGACAAGTGTAAGTCAGAAGAACAAGAAAGTTACCTGTACAATCATTATCATGACAAGTGTAAGTCAGAAGAACAAGAAAGTTACCTGTACAATCATTATCATGACAAGTGTAAGTCAGAAGAACAAGAAAGTTACCTGTACAATCATTATCGTGACAAGTGTAAGTCAGAAGAACAAGAAAGTTACCTGTACAATCATTATCATGACAAGTGTAAGTCAGAAGAACAAGAAAGTTACCTGTACAATCATGATCATGACAAGTGTAAGTCAGAAGAACAAGAAAGTTACCTGTACAATCATTATCATGACAAGTGTAAGGCAGAAGAACAAGAAAGTTACCTGTACAATCATTATGACAAGTGTAAGTCAGAAGAACAAGAAAGTTACCTGTACAATCATTATCATGACAAGTGTAAGTCAGAAGAACAAGAAAGTTACCTGTACAGACATCTTTTGTCTCCAATTGTTTATTGAGTTTACTGATGTAACTTTTCCTGCAGGATCTGGTTTCTTCAAGAATTATGAGAACCCATTATGGGTAACTAAGGACAATGCTTGTTTAACTGAGGGACACAGGGGCCTAATACAGAACAAAAAAACTCCATCAGATCACCCAGAAAATCTTGGTTCCCATGTTCATCAATCAGAAAATTCATTGACCCAGGTGGATCAGCCAACATGCTCTTGTACCATTAGAGACCAGTTGAGAAATCCTGATGTGCCAGGTAATCAGTTTGGAAGTTACTTTGAAGGTCAGTCAGGAGGTCAATGTGAAGGTCAATGTGAAATTCAGCCTGCAGATCTGTTTAGAGATCAGTTTTCAAGTCAGCCTGGTTGTCAACTTGAAGATCAGTCTGGAGTTCAGTGTGAAGATCAGCATGGAATTCAGTCTACAGATCATTATGTTGGTCTATCCAGTGGTCAAAGTGAAGGTCAATGTGGAGGTCAAGATACCCTTATCACTGACTGGGCATCCTACTACAGATACAGAGGACTCAGTCTTGATTCACCTATCTCTGTACTTCTACAATGGCCTTTGACTCTCTACTACATATTGACAAGGTGCCTACCAAAAGATTGTAAGTTGTAGCTCAGAGAAAATCTCAGAAAAACTGAATTTTACTGTTTCAGTTCTGTTACAATTATATCAATTTAAAGCATAGTATGTTTGCAATCTGAAAGAGTATTGTGATAGTTAGATATGGTCACATATACCCAACAAATTTTACCAGAGTTATTTCCCTTCGTATGGAAAGGAAGTAATTTTACTTGTGTCGTGATGAAAGTGTCTGTCATACAACAAAACCAATCAGAAAGTGATGTGATGTGTCAGTTACTCCTCGCTTTCACCTTTATTATATAAATGACCAGTAAAGTCTTTCTTGAATGAATGAATGATTAGTAAAGTGTATGTGACGAAACTCAAATCATGTACAAATGATAACACTGTAGCAAAGATCAAGTCAGTGTAGGTCGGTGAAGATAATTTTAACAATGTTAAAAGTGACCAAGGAAATAATAATTCAATGTAAGTATGTTTCAGTTTTTATTTTTTTCATTTTCATTTATATATTGAAATAATTTGTTTTGGTTATAAGGAAATGAAAGAAACTTGAAATCGAAATTAAACGAACATAAGAAAGGCTAATTACAGGTAACAAACACCTGCATACTTAATAAAATAAGATATTGTATATAACTAAATAATATTTCTCCATTGTAAAATAAGATATTGTGTATGACTAAATAATATTTCTCCATTGTAAAAGAAGATATCTTTTAAACCAAAATAATATTACTCCATTGTAAAATTAGATATTGTGTATGATTAATTAATATTTCTCCATTGTAAAATTAGATATTGTGTATGACTAATTAATATTTCTCCATTGTAAAATTAGATATTGTGTATGACTAATTAATATTTCTCCATTGTAAAATTAGATATTGTGTATGACTAATTAATATTTCTCCATTGTAAAAGAAGATATCGTTTAAACCAAAATAATATTTCTCCATTGTAAAATAAGATATTGTGTATGACTAAATAATATTTCTCCATTGTAAAATAAGATATTGTGTTCAACTTTTAATAAAGTTTTCTACAAAGGAAACCTTTTGATAGGCGATTTTTCTACCTCAGATGGTTGTGAGCTGGCCAGGGACAGACCTGTGATTCTGGACATTTTAGGGGTGGAACAGGAGTTAGACTTGTATCCAGTCTTTCAGGTGAGTGTATCGAAATTTTGCTTACATACTCCTGCTAAAGATATTGCTTTATTATGTAAAGGAAAATACCTAATCTAATCATAATCAAAGTCAAACAACAGGGACTTGGTGTTAATGAAGATCACCAATGTAAGTTGGAACATGAAAATAAATACATATGTGTAGATTTTATCATTAAGTATGTTAAAAATTTTATGTGATACTGCCAAATATGTATTGAGAGACTGTTAAGTCCACAAAATGGTCAACTGATATTCAGTAAGAAATCAATGCCGGAAAATAGTCAACATAGCAATAGAGGTTTATAAGAGGTAACAGCAATTCAGTATCGCTGTCCTGGAACATGTCCATAGTCCTATTTTTGAGTAAGTGTTTCAGTATCACTGTCCTGTAACATGTCCACCTTCCTATTTTTGAGTAAGTGTTTCAGTATCACTGTCCTGTAACATGTCCACCTTCCTATTTTTGAGTAAGTGTTTCAGTATCACTGTCCTGTAACATGTCCATCTTCCTATATTTGATTAAGTGTTTCAGTGTCACTGTCCTGTAACATGTCCACCCTCCTATATTTGAGTAAGTGTTTCAGTGTCACTGTCCTGTAACATGTCCATCTTCCTATATTTGAGTAAGTGTTTCAGTGTCACTGTCCTGTAACATGTCCATCTTCCTATATTTGAGTAAGTGTTTCAGTGTCACTGTCCTGTAACATGTCCATCTTCCTATTTTTGAGTAAGTGTTTCAGTGTCACTGTCCTGGAACATGTCTACCTTCCTATTTTTGAGTAAGTGTTTCAGTATCCCTGTCCTGTAACATGTCCACCTTCCTATTTTTGAGTAAGTGTTTCAGTATCACTGTCCTGTAACATGTTCACCTTCCTATTTTTGAGTAAGTGTTTCAGTGTCACTGTTCTGTAACATGTTCACCTTCCTATTTTTGAGTAAGTGTTTAAGTAACAAAGTTTGTATGTTAAATATGAGATGCTCACTTTAGAATAACTATGAAAGGGATTTTCCAAAATGATTTGTTGATTAACATCTGTTTCAGTATAGGTTGCAAAATGTATGCCATGATGAAAATAAATGTAATGAGGCAAGTATTTAAGTTATTTAACATTGAATACACTGTAAAGTGGATTTATAAACAATACTTTCCCTTAACAGAGGTGGTCTCTTAACAGAGATGGTCTCTTTACAGAGGTGGTCCCTTAACAGAGATGGTCTCTTTACACAGTGATATTGCAGTAGAGGTGGTGGTTGAATAGGTTTCATAACTTTACCTGGTGTGTTTGTTATTTCAGGAGCTCAGCTATTTACTGCCTAACCATGAATTTGTCATCAACATGTTTGGAAAGAATATTAGCAAGGTCGTGGACAGATGTGTGAAAGTGATGGGAAGAGTAAAAGTGAAGGTGTATAGATGTTTGTATCATAACTACAAACATCGCTGGAAACCTGATGTAGCTATAGGTGAGGAATATTGAACCCATGTTGACTGATTGAATCTTATATTTTAACATAGAAAAATATACGTTATTATTATCTAATGTGTTCTGTTGTGTGATAAAGGCAGCATCATTTATATTATAAAGCATACTCCCCAAAACTAACCTACAGAGCAACATGTTGACTCTATGTTGTAGGATAACATGTTGATTCTATCAACAGTGTAATATGTTAATTATGTCTTTCAGGGTAACATGTTGATTCTATCTTATAGGGTAACATGTTGATTCTATTTTATAGGGTAACATGTTGATTCTATTTTATAGGGTAACATGTTGATTCTTTTTATAGGGTAAAATGATCCTGTCTTACAGAGTAACGTGTTGATCCTGTCTTAGCGGGTAACATGTTGATTACCTTATAAAGGATAACGTTGATTTTATTGATAGGGTTACATGTTATTTCTGTCTTAGCGGGTAACATGTTGATTCTATCTTATAGGGTAACATGTTGATAACCTCATATAGGATCACATGTTGATTCTATTTACAGTGTAACATGTTGATTACCTCATATAGGATCACATGTTGATTCTATTTACAGTGTAACATGTTGATTACCTCATATAGGACCACATGTTGATTCTATTTACAGTGTAACATGTTGATTCCATTGACAGTGTAACATGTTGATTCCATTGACAGTGTAACGTGTTGATTCCATTGACAGTGTAACATGTTGATTCTATTTACAGTGTAACATGTTGATTCCATTGACAGTGTAACATGTTGATTCTATTTTACAGTGTAACATGTTGATTCCATTGACAGTGTAACATGTTGATTCCATTGACAGTGTAACATGTTGATTCTATTGACAGTGTAACATGTTGATTCTATTTACAGTGTAACATGTTGATTCCATTGACAGTGTAACATGTTGATTCTATCTTATAGGGTAACATGTTGATTACCTCATATAGGATCACATGTTGATTCTATTTACAGTGTAACATGTTGATTCCATTGACAGTGTAACATGTTGATTCCATTGACAGTGTAACATGTTGATTCTATTGACAGTGTAACATGTTGATTCCATTTACAGTGTAACATGTTGATTCCATTGACAGTGTAACATGTTGATTCTATTTTACAGTGTAACATGTTGATTCCATTGACAGTGTAACATGTTGATTCTATTTTACAGTGTAACATGTTGATTCCATTGACAGTGTAACATGTTGATTCTATTGACAGTGTAACATGTTGATTCTATTTACAGTGTAACATGTTGATTCCATTGACAGTGTAACATGTTGATTCTATTGACAGTGTAACATGATGATTCTATTTTACAGTGTAACATGTTGATTCTATTTTACAGTGTAACATGTTGATTCCATTGACAGTGTAACATGTTGATTCTATTTTACAGTGTAACATGTTGATTCCATTGACAGTGTAACATGTTGATTCTATTTTACAGTGTTACATGTTGATTCCATTGACAGTGTAACATGTTGATTCCATTTACAGTGTAACATGTTGATTCCATTGACAGTGTAACATGTTGATTCTATTGACAGTGTAACATGATGATTCTATTTTACAGTGTAACATGTTGATTCTATTTTACAGTGTAACATGTTGATTCCATTGACAGTGTAACATGTTGATTCTATTTTACAGTGTAACATGTTGATTCAATTGACAGTGTAACATGTTGATTCTATTTTACAGTGTAACATGTTGATTCCATTGACAGTGTAACATGTTGATTCTATTTACAGTGTGACATGTTGATTCCATTGACAGTGTAACATGTTGATTCTATTGACAGTGTAACATGTTGATTCTATTGACAGTGTAACATGTTGATTCTATTGACAGTGTAACATGTTGATTCCATTTACAGTGTAACATGTTGATTCCATTGACAGTGTAACATGTTGATTCTATTGACAGTGTAACATGTTGATTCTATTTTACAGTGTAACATGTTGATTCCATTGACAGTGTAACATGTTGATTCTATTTTACAGTGTAACATGTTGATTCCATTGACAGTGTAACATGTTGATTCTATTTTACAGTGTAACATGTTGATTCCATTGACAGTGTAACATGTTGATTCTATTTACAGTGTAACATGTTGATTCCATTGACAGTGTAACATGTTGATTCTATTTACAGTGTAACATGTTGATTCCATTGACAGTGTAACATGTTGATTCTATTTTACAGTGTAACATGTTGATTCCATTGACAGTGTAACATGTTGATTCTATTGACAGTGTAACATGTTGATTCTATTTACAGTGTAACATGTTGATTCCATTGACAGTGTAACATGTTGATTCTATTGACAGTGTAACATGATGATTCTATTTTACAGTGTAACATGTTGATTCTATTTTACAGTGTAACATGTTGATTCCATTGACAGTGTAACATGTTGATTCTATTTTACAGTGTAACATGTTGATTCCATTGACAGTGTAACATGTTGATTCTATTTTACAGTGTAACATGTTGATTCTATTTTACAGTGTAACATGTTGATTCCATTGACAGTGTAACATGTTGATTCTATTTACAGTGTAACATGTTGATTCCATTGACAGTGTAACATGTTGATTCCATTGACAGTGTAACATGTTGATTCTATTTTACAGTGTAACATGTTGATTCTGTCTGATAGGGTTACATTTTAATTCTATCTTATAGGGTAACATGTAATATGTTGATCCTGTCTTACAGAGTTATATGTTGATTTTGTCTTAGTGGGTAATTTGTTGACGTTTTGGATTATACTGTAGCCATCTTTGTAAGTTTAAGGAAAAATATTTCAAAATGGTAAAAAGATGCCTGTCTTAGAAGTGTCCTTAGGTCAGGATCATATGAGGTCGTTACATTGGATCCTCCCACTGTGACTTTGTGTGGTATTTTCTTGTTTATAAACTTTGGTGTTGAAATCATTAACCATTCAATAAACCTATTGCTTATTTAATGCTGAAACTTAGGATTTGATCTTTCTGATTTTTTTACATGCCAGGTTTTAATGCAGGAATAGCAGCCTACCCCTCATGGAGAGAAACAATCAGCAAACTAAAAGTAAGGACAACTAACATATGATACATATACATACTATTGGTTTGTCTACTGAGTGTATAGACCCATCAATAGCTTGGGTTATTTTGAGGCTGCAGTAGTAATAGCTGGTGACTACATAGTTGAATATCGTACAGTATGCCCATTGTATGCTATCCAGACCAATTTGTGTAAATTGTCTTGTACAAGGACACAGCGATGATATCGCAGACTTGTTTCTTTCTTTGCTTATATACATGTATATAGAAATAGTATTATTTACATAACAATGATTATATATTAGAATTTAGGTATATGTTGTTTAAGTGTTCAGTTTTATATTGATGTCAATGACAATATTAATTTTCAAAATCTTCACACATGTTTAGGTCACAGACTCTGAATTTGTGTAAAATTTGGCGAAGTTGAGGGATTCTTAGACAGTGTTAAATCAATGGAAAATCTCAGTTTGTGGAAATTTTCAAGTGATGCTAAATCCTTTGTGATCCTTAATTTGAGAAAATTTGTAAATATTGCATCCATGTGGAATGTGGTTGCTCACACTTGAGGTTCAAGGTACTTGGCCAATACCTTGATGGAATGAAGGGTTATAAAGTATGGTCAAAGGAATGACCTTGACACAGTCACAGGGTCACAGGCATTTGAACATCTTTTTTGCACTGAACTTCTCTCAGGTCTATCATTAAGGTTATATAAATATCAGACATGTCTTGTCCATCTGTCTGTCTGGCTGTCTGTCGGTCCGTCCATCTGTCCATCAGCACTTTTGTTTCTTGTGATAACTTTGAGTTTCCTTAGGCCGATCAGGCTCAAACTTCTGACAGTGTTTCTAGAGTGAAAGTGCTTGCATGGGATTGCTTTTCATCTTCCAAGGTCAAAGGTCAAGATCACTGTTACTATGAATAGAAAATCAGTTTCCATGTGGAAGCTAGGGTTTGCTTTGGCTAATCCAACCCAAACATCATACAGCAATATCTGACTGAAAGCATTTGCTTGGGATTGCTTTACAGTTTTCAAGGTCAAAGATCAAGGTCACTGTTGCCATGAATTAAAAAATCAGTTTCCCTGCTTTGACTAATCAAAATTAAACCTCAAACAATGCCTTCTTACAAAAATGTTTTTTTTTTAGATTGCTTTTGAGGTCCCAGGGTCAATGGTCCAGATTACTGTTACTATAAGTTGAAACTTGGTTTCCATGATATAACTTGGGTTCCCTTGGGCCAATCAAATTCAAACTTCATACGATGGTTTCTCACTGAAAGTGCTTGCTAGGGAATACTTTTCAGACACAGAAATCAAAGTTTGAGGTTATTGTTGCTATAATGGAAAATTTTTGTGGAATAACTTGAGTTTGCTGCAGTCAATCTAACTCAAACTTGATGAAATGCTTCTTATCCAAGAGTGCTTGATTGAGATAGATTGCGATTCAAGTCCAAAGGTCAAAGGTTACTGTAACTATAAATTAAAATAAGTTTCTATGTGATAACTTGAGTTTGCTTTGCTTCCTTGGGATATTGTTTTTTATATTCCAACCTCTAAGGTCAAGGCCGGGGTTATAATAAATAAAAAGATAGATTGTTGAATGTATTTGTTAGTCTGTTAGGGAATAGGATTTCCAGTTACGTCACAGCGCCCTTGCTGACTTGTCAGTGTTCTAGTTTCTCTAATCTGTTTCAATATTCAGATATAGGAGAGATTAACAGGAACCTAGAAATGAAGTTTGAGAAAGATTTATCAGATAACAGATACAAAAATAATGATAACAGGTTTCAATTGATAAAAAATGAAGATGGACGTCTATAAGTCATTTTGTTATTATGATCAGTCTTAATTAAAATTGAAAGGAAACATCTAGTGACCAAGGGGAGCCTTGAGATTCATCAAGTACTTCTCAAGGGATAATGAAGAAATGTAACAAAATCCATGATGTCCATCTATTGGCCATTCTGTTTTTCTGGTGAGATTTAAAATGTGTAGGACACTACCAGGGACCACAGGAAAGCCACATATGGAATTTGAGTACCAAAGGGTCAGGATGACCTATAGCCATCATGTATTGTCCATAATTGTGCACTGTCCGCCATCCGCCTTGCTTAAACTTTCCATTCAACTGACTTCTTCCAAATAACCAGAAGGTTCAGGGTACTGATATTCAGTCATGAGCATGATGGAATGAAGGGCTGTCAAGTTTGTTAATATGATTATTAATTCTTCTTCTCATTGACCTTAAGGCCCTGGGTGCTGATATTAGGCTTGTAGCATGCTTGAAATTAGGGCTACCAAGTTTTTCAATTTGAAAGACCTTGATCTGTTTTCAAGGTCAGAGGGGTCAAAAATGTTTAAATCTTCTCAATAACTGAAATTTTCATGGTGCTTATATTGGGCTGTAGTATGGTGTCATGAAAGGCTACCAAGTTTGTAAATATGAATGACCTTGGTTTACTTTCAAAGTCACAGTGGTCAAATATGTTTAAATCCTTAAACGACTTCTTTTCAATAATCAAAAGGCCAAGGATTATGATAAAGGACTTTCTGCATGATGGGATAAAAGGCTAAGAAATTTTCAAATATGAATGACCTTGATCCACTTTCAAGGTCACCAGCGTCAACTATGTTAAAACCTTTAAACAACTTCTTCTCAATAGTCAAAAAGCCTATGGTGATAATATTGGGCCTGTAGCATGATAGAGTAAAGAGCTACCAAGTTTGTTAAAATGAATGACTTTGACTTGCTTTCAAGGTCACAAGGGTCAAATCTGTCAAAATCTTTAAACAACTTCTCAATAACTAAAAGGCCCAGCTGCTGATATTAAGTCTGTAGCATGCTTGGAGTGAGGGCTACCAAATTTGTCTATAAAAAAAATCACAGTGGTAAAATGTGTTTAAATATTTAAATGATTCTTCTCAATTACCAAAAGGCCAAGGGTCTTGATACTGGGCCTTTAGCATGCTTTTCAACAAGCAATATATTCAATGTAAGCTGTAGTGTAGTTGAGCAATTTATTTTAGGCCTATTTGGCCTCTTTAATATATAGGTCTTTATAGTCAGATGACCCTTTAAGGCCTGTGAGACTCTTGTTAATATACATATTCAAGTAATTGTAAACAAGTACGCTTGCATCAAGAAATAATCCATATTCCCTGAGTAATGATAGGTTTCTCCTGTATCAGAAGAATTGAAGTTTATCACATGATACCATATAGGTAGAGTGACAGATATGATATCTGAAACGAGATGAAATACAGTGTTCTGACCTAGTGATAAGATTTTTCTGGTGTGACCTCAAATTACAAAATCAAATGTGTTTTTAGAAAGATGAATTATTCAACAATTTTCAAATACATGAGAGCCAGCTGTACTTGTCTCATTAAGAAATGTCCTGAAATATTGATAAGAAGTGTAAACAGGTTGATCAATATTCACCTTGTCTTTGGAACCATTCTATATGTGGGCTTTGATATGATAATGATAATAATTCTGTGTAATCAGGACAACTACAGCTGAAAATCTGTTACTCTCACGGATTCTTAATCATCAAATATACATTTAAAATTAAAACACGATGTGACACTGTGATTAAAGACAAAAATAAAGTTTTTGTCACCTGTCTAATTACTACAAATAACAGAGGTTTGTCATGATGAACATTTCATAATAACATTATGATCCTGATACTACAAACCAAAGGGATTTCAACATGTATACAATGAGAAAAAACCGCAGCTACATTATATGTATTTGAATATGCTTGGCCATGGAATGACAGGGTGTACTGAACCTCCAGTGTTTTGTTAGTATTTGAAACAGTAGAGTGATTCAGGATTTCTAACAATGGTATCAATAAATAATTTTTGCCATCACGACCAGAGTAATACAATGATGATGTCATTGTTAATATCAAAATTTCTTCGCATAAGTGTTTGGTTATCTGTAAAGTGTGACATTTTTATACCTAGGAAATAAAAAGATCACTGGTAATACTATTTACAGTTACTGCTCTCTGTGTCAGAAACAAGTCTGTCAAGTGTTTATATGCTGCCTGATTCTTGTTTCAGAGTGAACAAACTCCAGCCTATTTCACAGATTATTGCCACTACAGTGCTGACCTGGGTCGAGAGGTCATGAGAGAGGGTTGTGGCCTGGAGATATCCTTACCCTCCCTGAACCCGTTCAGGAGTCCATTGAGGCGTGTCTGTGATCAGCATCTGTTGCCATGGTTCAGCAATGCTTACCTCTTCCATCTTCTCTACACTCCCATTAAACAATGAAACACAATTTCTTGTTTTTGTTGATTCTCATGCTTTGTTATACTGTTGGAAGTAGTGATTATGATATCAGCTTCGTGGAGAGTATATATTAATCACTTTGTCCGTGTGTGCATTCTTCTGTCTGTCCACTCATTGGATTGTAGTAACCTTATGTTATCAAGCCCTGAACAATTTTGGTATACATTTACAGCATAATGTCATGCCAACAAGTTCTACACCTGATTAGGTTTAGGTGGTCATTGGTCAAGGTTACAGGTCAGAAGTCACCCTAGACCATTTTGATCCAGGAGGTGGCATATATCTATGTGAGGCCCTGCTCACTTTGTCTTATGAACAATGGGAAAATTATGATTAAAATTGTAGTAAAATTCTTATCTACCATTTCTATTCCAAAGATTTGAAGCCGACTTCAGCTTACATCCAGGAAGCATACTATAGCTTACTTCCACCTAGCAAACTCCAGCTTACTTCCAGGAAGCATACTTTAGCTTACTTCCACCTAGCCAACTCCAGCTTACTTCCAGGAAGCATACTATAGCTTACTTCCACCTAGCCATCTCCAGCTTACTTTCAGGATGCATACTACAGCTTACTTCCACCTATCCTACTTCAGCTTACTTCCAGAAAGAAAACTGTAGCTTACATCCACCTAGCCAACTCCAGCTTACTTCCAGGAAGCATACTATAGCTTACTTCCACCTAGCAAACTCCAGCTTACTTCCAGGAAGCATACTATAGCTTACATCCACCTAGCCAACTCCAGCTTACTTCCAGGAAGCATACTATAGCTTACATCCACCTAGCAAACTCCAGCTTACTTCCAGAAAGCATACTATAGCTTACATCCACCTAGCCAACTCCAGCGTACTTCCAGAAAGCATACTATAGCTTACTTTCATCTAGCAAACTCCAGCTTACTTCCAGGAAGCATATTATAGCTTACTTCCACCTAGACTACTCCAGCTTACTTCCAGGAAACCTACCATAGGTTACTTTCACCTTCACCACTGCACTTATATGTTTTTCTTTCTATGTACCATAAACAGTGTATTAAGTTAAGCTTTTATGCTAAACATGTATTGATCATCGGTCATGTACCTTACCTGTACATTCTTCTTCATCACTGGAGCAGGCTGATCAATTAGTAATACTGAACACTTGTCACCTTTATCTGCCATTAACAGAATATCAAGATAAGTTCTCAAAGATGTTTATTGATTATCAGTAAAATTGTTTTATTATTTAGTGTTATTGTTAAATGATTATTAAGTCACAGACGACTGTTAAAAATTAATCTGACCCTAAATCCAGACTGTTAAAAATTAATCTGACCCTAAATCCAGACTGTTAAAAATTAATCTGACCCTAACTCCAGACTGTTAAAAATTAATCTGACCCTAACTCCAGACTGTTAAAAATTAATCTGACCCTAAATCCAGACTGTTAAAAATTAATCTGACCCTAACTCCAGACTGTTAAAAATTAATCTGACCCTAACTCCAGACTGTTAAAAATTAATCTGACCCTAACTCCAGACTGTTAAAAATTAATCTGACCCTAACTCCAGACTGTTAAAAATTAATCTGACCCTAACTCCAGACAACTGTTAAAAATTAATCTGACCCTAACTCCAGACGACTGTTAAAAATTAATCTGACCCTAACTCCAGACTGTTAAAAATTAATCTGACCCTAACTCCAGACTGTTAAAAATTAATCTGACCCTAACTCCAGACTGTTAAAAATTAATCTGACCCTAAATCCAGACTGTTAAAAATTAATCTGACCCTAACTCCAGACTGTTAAAAATTAATCTGACCCTAACTCCAGACTGTTAAAAATTAATCTGACCCTAACTCCAGACTGTTAAAAATTAATCTGACCCTAACTCCAGACTGTTAAAAATTAATCTTACCCTAACTCCAGACAACTGTTAAAAATTAATCTGACCCTAACTCCAGACGACTGTTAAAAATTAATCTGACCCTAACTCCAGACTGTTAAAAATTAATCTGACCCTAACTCCAGACTGTTAAAAATTAATCTGACCCTAACTCCAGACTGTTAAAAATTAATCTGACCCTAACTCCAGACTGTTAAAAATTAATCTGACCCTAACTCCAGACTGTTAAAAATTAATCTGACCCTAACTCCAGACTGTTAAAAATTAATCTGACCCTAACTCCAGACTGTTAAAAATTAATCTGACCCTAACTCCAGACTGTTAAAAATTAATCTGACCCTAACTCCAGACGACTGTTAAAAATTAATCTGACCCTAACTCCAGACGACTGTTAAAAATTAATCTTACCCTAACTCCAGACGACTGTTAAAAATTAATCTGACCCTAACTCCAGACGACTGTTAAAAATTAATCTGACCCTTACTCCAGATGACTGTTAAAAATTAATCTTACCCTAACTCCAGACGACTGTTAAAAATTAATCTGACCCTAACTCCAGATGACTGTTAAAAATTAATCTGACCCTAACTCCAGACTGTTAAAAATTAATCTGACCCTAACTCCAGATGACTGTTAAAAATTAATCTTACCCTAACTCCAGATGACTGTTAAAAATCAATCTGACCCTAACTCCAGACGACTGTTAAAAATTAATCTGACCCTAACTCCAGATGACTGTTAGTTTCTGATAGGTCTGTACAAACGTCCTCGGCTAAGAAATCAGTCACCATTTCTGATAGGTCTGTACAAACGTCCCCAGGTAAGAAATCAGTCACCATTTCTGATAGGTCTGTACAAACGTCCCCGGCAAAGAAATCAGTCAGCATTTCTGATAGGTCTGTACAAACGTCCTCGGCTAAGAAATCAGTCACCATTTCTGATAGGTCTGTACAAACGTCCCCGGCAAAGAAATCAGTCAGCATTTCTGATAGGTCTGTACAAACGTCCCCGGCAAAGAAATCAGTCACCATTTCTGATAGGTCTGTACAAACGTCCTCGGCTTAGAAAGCGGTCACCATTTCTGATAGGTCTGTACAAACGTCCTCGGCTAAGAAATCAGTCAACAATTCTGATAGGTCTGTACAAACGTCCTCGGCTTAGAAAGCGGTCACCATTTCTGATAGGTCTGTACAAACGTCCTCGGCTAAGAAATCAGTCACCATTTCTGATAGGTCTGTACAAACGTCCCCGGCAAAGAAATCAGTCAGCATTTCTGATAGGTCTGTACAAACGTCCCCAGGTAAGAAATCAGTCACCATTTCTGATAGGTCTGTACAAACGTCCCCGGCAAAGAAATCAGTCAGCATTTCTGATAGGTCTGTACAAACGTCCCCGGCAAAGAAATCAGTCAGCATTTCTGATAGGTCTGTACAAACGTCCTCGGCTAAGAAATCAGTCAGCATTTCTGATAGGTCTGTACAAACGTCCTCGGCTAAGAAATCAGTCAGCATTTCTGATAGGTCTGTACAAACGTCCTCGGCTAAGAAATCAGTCACCATTTCTGATAGGTCTGTACAAACGTCCCCAGGTAAGAAATCAGTCAGCATTTCTGATAGGTCTGTACAAACGTCCTCGGCTAAGAAATCAGTCACCATTTCTGATAGGTCTGTACAAACGTCCTCGGCTAAGAAATCAGTCACCATTTCTGATAGGTCTGTACAAACGTCCCCAGGTAAGAAATCAGTCACCATTTCTGATAGGTCTGTACAAACGTCCTCGGCTTAGAAAGCGGTCACCATTTCTGATAGGTCTGTACAAACGTCCTCGGCTTAGAAAGCGGTCACCATTTCTGATAGGTCTGTACAAACGTCCTCGGCTTAGAAAGCGGTCACCATTTCTGATAGGTCTGTACAAACGTCCTCGGCTAAGAAATCAGTCACCATTTCTGATAGGTCTGTACAAACGTCCCCGGCAAAGAAATCAGTCAGCATTTCTGATAGGTCTGTACAAACGTCCCCAGGTAAGAAATCAGTCACCATTTCTGATAGGTCTGTACAAACGTCCCCGGCAAAGAAATCAGTCAGCATTTCTGATAGGTCTGTACAAACGTCCCCGGCAAAGAAATCAGTCAGCATTTCTGATAGGTCTGTACAAACGTCCCCGGCAAAGAAATCAGTCAGCATTTCTGATAGGTCTGTACAAACGTCCTCGGCTAAGAAATCAGTCACCATTTCTGATAGGTCTGTACAAACGTCCTCGGCTAAGAAATCAGTCACCATTTCTGATAGGTCTGTACAAACGTCCCCAGGTAAGAAATCAGTCAGCATTTCTGATAGGTCTGTACAAACGTCCTCGGCTAAGAAATCAGTCAGCATTTCTGATAGGTCTGTACAAACGTCCTCGGCTAAGAAATCAGTCACCATTTCTGATAGGTCTGTACAAACGTCCCCAGGTAAGAAATCAGTCAGCATTTCTGATAGGTCTGTACAAACGTCCTCGGCTTAGAAAGCGGTCACCATTTCTGATAGGTCTGTACAAACGTCCTCGGCTTAGAAAGCGGTCACCATTTCTGATAGGTCTGTACAAACGTCCTCGGCTTAGAAAGCGGTCACCATTTCTGATAGGTCTGTACAAACGTCCTCGGCTTAGAAAGCGGTCACCATTTCTGATAGGTCTGTACAAACGTCCTCGGCTTAGAAAGCGGTCACCATTTCTGATAGGTCTGTACAAACGTCCTCGGCTTAGAAAGCGGTCACCATTTCTGATAGGTCTGTACAAACGTCCCCGGCTTAGAAAGCGGTTATCCTGGAGACTATCTTATACGAACTCATCATGTTATTTCCTTATAGAACCATTTGCTACTTTTTTTCTGTTATGATCCGTTTCTCTGGCCCCGGAGGTCTAGACTCACCATTGACACAAAATTGCTGGTGGGCTGGCGGACACCGGATGTCGTCGGCCCAGGTTAGTTTTTAAGTATTGCATGAGTATGGAAGACGTGAACAACAGAGATCATTCCATTTGTGCTTCATTTGGGTTATTGTGATTAGGACTCGTTAGTGGATGTTACCGGGAATCATGTGATCTGTGGATTGTTTCATAACT